TGTTTAGTTGCGTGCGCTTTGTGCTAAAGGCTTTAGGGGTGAAAGGTGTTGGGATTTATTCCCTTTGTTTCTTACGGTTGATCACGGATAAAAAATAAAATAAAATAAAAAATATTAATGAGTAATTTAGAGTGGAGGGATCGGATGGAGCAGTTGAAGTTGGAATATTGGATCAAATATGTCAAAGAAGAAATCAAAGAGTTGAAACGCATTGGCAAAAGAAGGAGGATGAAGGATAAAGAATACGATAAGATGGACGAGTTGCGGAAAGAGCGAACTAAGTACCGGGCGAGGATACGCAAACTCGAGTTACGTACGGAGGGGTTCGGTGACAAGGAGCCCGTGTTTACGTTCGATCCGCCGGGCTATGTTGACGATAAGATCGCCGAGTGTGTGGTCGAGCCAGTCAAGTACGAGGCCGAATTTGTGGTCGAGCGAGTCGAGCACAAGGCCAAGTCCATGGTCGAAACAAAAGACGTGGTCGACGAAGTCAAGGAGGAGGCTTTGATCGGGGCCGATGGAGACGAGGTCAAGAAGGTGATGGTCGATGGCGAGTCCTTGAAGACAAGGACTCATTCGAAGGGGGGAGGAATGATAAAGATGTGGGTTTCGAGACCCGAGCACGCCGAGGACCAAGGGTCGAGACGACCCGAGAAGGCCGGGAAAAGGGCCAAAACCACGCATGTATGGCCTAAAAGACGAGCGCGAGCTCGATTACGAGGTGGTCGAGCACGAGCATCGCACTACGGAACAAGCATGTGCGAGGTGCGGGAAACGCGTGGAAGTTCGAGAAGCCTCGCGTTGTCGAGGAATAGCACGCGATCAAGCACGCGGGGGAGTACGCGGGTTGGACGCGCGATCACGAGAGCTGGCAGCACAGTTGGTCGAAGCTAGTATGAACGAGTATAAGTGGGTCGATGATGAGCATGCGACGTCGAGCTCAACAAGGTCGAGCACGCGAGAGTCGACCACAACGAGAGGGACGAGAGCACGGCTTGAACGCACGCGTCGGGCAGAGACATGGACGGGCCTAGACTTCAGAGCACGTATGGGATTGGGCTTAGCCATAGTGGTCCGGTCGAGCCCGGGCGTTGGCAACGGGCCGCGCGAAGAAGCACGTGGAGACGTACGTGGGCGTGATGCGCAAATGCACGAGGCAAGCCGTACGAGCCGAAGGCCGGAATATTCTAGAAGATTAATAGTTAGTTTATTATATATGTTAGGTTAATTATTATTAGAGTAGTAGTTGTTAGTTTATTCATTTGCGTTAGTAGGCATGTTAGATTAGTTTATTTAATATGTTAGTAGTTAGTTTATTAGATTAAGAAATAGTGCCGTGAGATAGTATTGTTAGGAGTAGATTTAGTTAGGTTATATTTATTGACGTTAGCCGTGTGGTGATATAATTAGTTAGGATAGTTTTGTTAGGATTAGTATTCACGTCATTGTTCACGTGAATAATTAGATTGTTAGGAATTAGTATTTAATTATTTGGTAAGTCTTGATATGTAAGACATTTAGTTACCTTAGGACTAGATATATTTTCCATAAATTAGAATTATAGTTGGCATGGGACTAGATCTAGTTTTTCTTATAAATACCCTACGTACTCATTCAATTTGATTATCATTGAAGAATTAATTAAAAATCGAACACTTGTTCAAATTGTCTTGTGTGTAAGAAATAGGACCAACATCCGATTTTCTTCCACACCTATCGCGAAGTACGAAGGCGTCGGCGCGCGTATTAGCATCTATCGGCGATTCAAGGCGCGCGAGCGGCAGGTTGATTTGGTTCGATAGTCCCCGGCAAAGTTGCTGGAAGTTCGGCAAAAGACCGGCTAGGGTCACCAGCCGCGCCAGTCGCGCGTGTCGTGCCCGTGCCGCGTCACAAAGGCCAGGCAGTGCCTCTGCCCGTGCCCGTGCCCGCGCCTAGCGCTCGCGAGGCACCGCAGTCCCAGCGCACGAGACAGCGCCCAACAACGCCTGTCCGTGCCAGCCCGCGAGGTCTCAGCGCCAGTCGCGCCAGAGCACCTCCGACAGAGTCCGGCAGCGCTGTCCCAGTGTCATGCACGCGTGATCCCGAGCAAGTCGCTCGTGCCACGCGAAGTCGACCTCGGGTCGTGCCAGCAGTGCAGCCGAGTATCCCGTGCCGTGTCTTAGTGAACCCGAGCCGTGTTCAGAGGCCTCGAGACGTGCCCAGCCGTACGCCCGAGCAATCAGTTGGCCCGGGACGTGCCCAGCAGCATGCCCGCGTGCCCAGGGTTGCCCGATAGCACCCTGACAGCCTTAGCCGCGCCCGAGCCGCGCGAGTAGTGTCTGTCCGCGTCAGTCCTCGCACCAGTCGCACTCGGGTCGTGCCAGCCGCACCCGTGCCAGCCGCACAGCCCGCGCCCAACAGCGCCTAGTACCGAGGCCCGGTCGCACCCAGCTCGTGCCCAGCGCCGTGCCATGGCCCCAGCAGGCCCGACACGGGACCGAGCCCGGCCAGTCCGAGCAGCCCATGACTAACCGTCCAGTGTGAACCGGTGGTCCAACTCGGTCTGGTCCAGCCCGACCCGGTTCAACCAATTAGCGAACCGGCCGGTTTAGCCGGCGGTTCGAGTCTGTTTTGGTTCGTGATTTCCGGTCCGAGTCTTATTCCGAAATCTAAGCATTTCTCCGAGCCAAACCAGATCAGTTAAGCATATCAGTATAATTTCCGGACTTAGAATTATTTCAGTGAACTCTTAGAGCGTTCCTTTATATCTGGATGAGTAATCTGATAGAGTAGAGCATCCTAGCATATTTTTGAGCATATGACGAGCATAGTACTTAGTATATTTGTTTGCTTATATTTTTTTATGTAGCTTGAGGAGTCAGCTACCAGCACAGCCGCACTTACTCGTTTTCAAAACCGATCAGGTGGGGACCCAGTCTGGGTTATACATTGAGTTTAATAGTCGATATCACGTTAAGGTATGTATATGAGTTTTATCCACTTTGGGTTAAGGCCAAGTTATACCATCAGAGTGTGCACACGGTTACCGGCCAGAGTGTTCCGGGAGTTACTGACCAGAGAGTTTCGGAAGTTTCAGTTTACTTATATATACCAGTGTGTGATATCATTATTAATATTGTTGTTTACTTTAGAATGGGTTTTTATGGAGTACAAGTGGACCGTACTCACCCCCACTTTATATTTTCAGATGACAGGGTCGGCGGGCCGGTGTGAGTCGAGCTGTGGTGGTGTTGGTCGTGAGTTCCGCACGAAAGCTGTTCCCGGGACATTTGTTTAAACTGTTTTGTAAACTATTATAACCACGTACTTCAGACATCCACTATGTTTGCGTTTATTTTCGAACATGCATGACGTTATTTTCAGACTTAAATAATTTTACTCAGTTCGCCAGTACGAACGGGTCCAGACTAATATGCATGATTCGTTAAAATATAAACCTGATTTCTTAAAGTCTAAACCAGTCGATAGACCTAGGTTAAAGAAATGGGTTGTTAAGCAGAAAAGTCCTTAGCAGCATCCCGAGATAGTTGGCAAATGATTTCGAAAAATTTATAAGCGTTTTCGAGAGAGTTATAATTTTCGAAAAATTGGCCCTAAGTAGCGGGGTGTTGCACGAAATGCGCGTTCGAACCGGTCTGAGAATAGGGTCTCCGACTTATTACTGGCGACTGGGGTTGAGGCCTGACTGCGATTTGATAATCGGCTCAGTTCGTGACGTGGCTGCTGACTGAGGTCGGCAGCTTGCGGCGCGGTTGACCGTGGAGGATGACGAGGTAGGTGTCTGAATCTGCGGGTGGCAGCGGCGGTTCGACTACTCTATTTTACAGATCGAGTAGAGATGTTCGGTCCGGCTATCATAGGGAGATCCGACCGGGCCGTCTGTGATGTAAGATCCGTGTTCGGGCCGCATATGGTGGTCGGTTCGACCCGCGGTCGGTCGTAGATTTGGCCCGTGGAGGCGGATGGGTCTGTTCGGCCCATGGACGGTTGTAGGTTCGTCCCACGAACGGTGGTAGGTTCGGCCCGCAGATGGTGGTGATGTTGGTGGTTTGGGGCTTTGTTGTGCAGCTCGGCCATCGTGGCCGTTGTTTGTGCTTGAGACTAGTGACGTCTTTGTTTGGCAATGAATGAGTATCCGAGTGTTTCAATTCGGTAAGAAATCGCAGCTCCGGCATCTCGATTGTGAAGGAGGCCGCCATTTCTCATTGGCACATGGATCACGGATATTCCGCAGGGAAGTGCAATCGGATTTGAGATTAAAAGAGTGTCGATATCACCACCAAGGATTCGAAAGACACACGATAAATAAGGATTCAACAGATTAAACTTCAATTTATTTGTTTCAGCAGATTAGATGACGGATTTGGGGGTTTGGTTTTTCTAGGGAACTTGGCTTTTCTCTCACCATTTTTTTGTTTTCTAATTTATATTTTTATTTTTAAGAGAAGAAATCTCATAGCCAGAAACATTGCTGCCGCTTGGAAGAAATTAAATAAATCATAAAAATAGGAAGCTAGGACTAGTGGGCAATCCAGAGATGAGACGAACTCCAAAAAACGTTGTATCGAATTTGTTTATTCTATGAAAATTGGGATTTTTTGTGGTGTTCCACAAGTTCAGAAATTACCTCAAACAAATGATAAGGCCCTTCTCTAGCGTCATTTGTTGATGCTCAAAAATGTCAGCAACAGGGGTGAACCATATACTACTCAGGATACTTTGTTCACAAAATAAACATATGAGGTAATTTTGGGGAAAAATGAAGTTTCACAAAAATAAACATACGAGGCAACAGGGGTGAACCATATACTACTCAAGAAAAGCCGAAGAAGGAAGATGAAGTTTCATATTTCATTGATATTTTGGGGAAAAATGTCCCTTTTCTCTCTCTTCTCAGATCTCCTTTGGATAAGATTGGATTCCCCCCTTTTACAATATGTGGTGCCAAGTATATATACATGACATAACACATGGACATAAATTGATGAGGAATAAACTAATACAAATGATATTTTAATGTGTTGTATTTTTATTAATGGTAGCCAAATTGGGTATCACCAGCTTGATCAACCAAGACATGCTCCTCAGCTACCTTGTGCCTATCAATCGGTATAGAAGAGCTAGAGATAACCATCATTACCTCATTTGCACAAGAAACACCATTTTTGTCGGCCTTGGAGGTTGAAGTTGAAGCTTCCGTTTCAGCCTCTATTGGGCGCACCTCCTCCGAGTCTTCAAGAAGGTCGACTTCATGATCATTGGTGTGACCGGAACACTCCTCCTACGTCAATTTCCGGTAATGAAGCTTTTTCTTTGATTTTCCCATGGAAGTGAACTGTAGCAGTGGGAAAGGAACTATGTGCGTGAGTGTTTCATGCCTTCCAATTGCACTTCAGCGAATTAGGATGAAAATGGGTGCCTTTATCCACTAAAATTCACATAAATTCAAATCGAAATTATAGCAGGTATGAAATTTCGCAAGTAATTCTGAAGCTCTTCGCGTGAGTATTTCTTTCCGTAGTGTGTGAAATATGGTTCAAATTGAATCGAATCAGATTTGAACAATTTCCAAATATTGGATAGTCATTGAAGTGAAAAATCGATGGAAATCAATGCAAAAGAAGATCAAAGTTACGTCAGCCCTAAGTTGCGAGAATCTTAGTGAGAGAACTTCCTCCTTCTCTTTAACCGACGTTCTTTTTTTTATATTTTTTTTTTCTTTGGGTTACAGGTCACTCACTTTTTGCAAAAAGGGTAAAGCAAAAGCTGTTTTTTGAGGCTTGAAATGCGGAATTCCTGGGATCCAGGGATTCTCCCAAATACTAACAGAAGTACCGTCAACAGCTTGATATCTTGCTCCACCCTGAAAACTATCTCTAACTTCCAGCCACGAATTCCACATCCAGGATGCTGAACTAGATTTCAAAGTAGAAAAGAAGGATTTATTGTGGAAGTATTTTGCTTTCAACACTTTACTGCCTAATGAATTTGGATGAGTAAGTAGCCTCCAAATTTGTTTTGCAATTAGGGCCTGGTTTAGTAGTTGAAGATCCATGAACCCAAGGCCGCCTTTTTCTTTAGAAAGTGTCAATTTGTTCCAGGATTTTCAGTGTATGTTTCTTTTGCTCTCCTTACCCTTATTCCACTAGAATGCAGAGAGTTTCTGAGACATTTTTGAACTTAGAGATTTTGGTAAAGTGAAACAGCTCATAGCATAAATTGGAACCGCACTGAGTACTGACTTGATTAGGACTTCTTTACCTGCAAAAGATAAAAATTTGTTTTTTCAATTTGCAATTCTGTTTTCTATTTTCTTTTGGATAAATCCAAAAGATTCTGCCTTGGATTTTCCTAAACCTAAATGGAGTCAAAGATACCGGGAAGAACTTTGGGATTTGATCCCCAGCAAAGTATGGTATATATTGTTTTGAATAGGGGCGGGGGTATTCTTGCGAAAGAAAATAGAGGATTTGTCTAAATTTACTCTTTGGCCAGAAATTTGGTGATAGAGTTGAAGGATCTGAAGAATCGAGGTTGCTTGGTCTGAGGTTGCCTTGGCAAAAAGAAGAGTATCATCGGCAAAAAACAAATGGGTTATAGGAGGACTATGCTTAGAAATCTGAATACCTTGAAAATTACCACTTTGGACGTTTTTTTTTTATCGAGAAAGATAGGATTTCAGATATAAGAATGAAAATGTATGGAGACCCAAGTTTAAGCAAGACCAATTTAACAAAATCCTACTCAACTCGATCAAATGCCTTGGCCATATCAAGTTTAATAGCCATATAACAGTTTTTGCCACTTCTATGCCGGTTTAAGAAGTGAATAATTTCATGGGCGACAATGACGTTATCCATAATATTCCGATTAGGAATAAAAGCTGTTTGGTTTTCACTAATGCAAGCAGTTAAGCAAGGTCTTAATCTGTTGGCCAAAATTTTTGAAATGATTTTGTAAGCAACATTGCAAAGGCTAATAGGTCTAAAATTAGAGACAGATTCGGAGTGCTTTGTTTTGGGTATCAACGTGATAAGGGCATGATTAATAGATTTTAGGAGCTGGCCCGATTAAAAAAAACTAGAGACCAACATACAAATATCATGCTCTAGAATGTGCCAAAAGTGTTGAAAGAAGTTAGATGTCATACCATCTAGACCTGGGGCTTTCTGGGGATCAATGCTGAAAAGGGCAGCTCTGATTTCTTCCACTCCCACTTCCCCCACTATTTCTGCATTTGTCTCTTGGGAAATCACTAGTCTGAAATCTTGAAGCAGACTATCACCTCCTGAAGAGCCCTCGGAGCTGAAAAGCTGATTGTAGTACTCTTCAATGCAAGCTTATATACTTTCTTGGTCCTCACAAACCTCACTGTTATCTTTAGTAAGCCTGTGGATTTTGTTCTGTTGCCGTCTTTGGACTGTGCAAGCATGAAAGAATCTCGAATTTTTATCGCCCTCCTTAAGCCAAGCAATCCTTGACTTTTGCCACCAAAAGAGTTCCTCTTATTTGTTAGCTTCATGAAGCTGGTGTTGCAAGGGATCCCATAGTACCCAGTCCCTTAGCTCTCCCTGGGAATGCAGCTCCTCTAATTGCTTGTTCAGGAACTCAATTTTTCTTGCATTATTTGATTTAAACTTGCTGCTCCATCGCAGCAGTTCCACTCTTGTAGCCTTTACTTTTGCATTGAACTGGAACATTGGTGTTCCTGTATGCCTCTCCTTCCAAACTTTTTTCACCACTTCATTGATGTCATTCTTTTTTAGCCACCCGGAGTCGAATTTGAAACACCTTTTTGGCTTTGAGAAGGAAGGTGTAATATTAAGGAGCAACAACCCATTATCTGATGAACTTCTAAAAATATTATCCACAACAACATTTGGATATTTAGTAAGGGAATCCAGTGATTCAAAAATTCTGTCTAGCTTCTCTTCTACATAACCTGCACCTTCTCGTTGGTTTCCCCAGGTGAAATGGTTACCTCTTCAGGCAAATTCATCCATCTTCATATTTGCAATGAAGTTCTTGAAAGAGGTGAAGGAAAATTCAGATCTCATCCTGCCACCTCTTTTATCTTCTTTACAAATAATGTCATTCCAATCCCCTCCTATAAACCAATTATCTCCCCATTTGATACTTTCTCTTAGAAGCCAGTTCCTTTGTTCAGCCCTTATGGATGAGTCAGGACTTAGATAGACAAAAACACACCAATACCGAAGTGCTTTAGAAGCTTCCCAGAAGAGAACTTGCATACTGAAATTATTTTTCAAAATATTGATACAGAATTATCCCAAAAACAAAGAACCCCTCCACTTTTACCTTGCGGATCCACTGCAACCCAATTATCTCCTACTCCTAAGTTCCTACACACTGTATTTACAAACTTGCTATTCTTTTTGGTTTCCGAAATGAAAGAAATATTTGGGTGGTGGAGCCTTGAGATCTCCTTCAACTAGGAAATTGTAGAGGGCCCACCTAGTCCTCTACAGTTCCACATCATTACCTTCATTGGTCCTGTTGGGGCCATTTGAGGCTGGCCTCCAACACCTTCAATTTTTCAATCTTGATTCTTTTACTGTCATGTATTTCAATTTCTGTCTGACTTGGGATTGCTTCCAGTGACGTTGCTGGTAATGTGAGTGGTCTTTTTCCTCTTGTGATTTCCTCTTTCAAATTTTATGATTGGATCCTGGATGAAGATTGAGCCTTTCGTTTCCAGAATTTTTGTTGGATAGCCACAGGTTTGGCATTCGTAACATTTTCCTGGATATTTTCAATGGTTTGCTGAGATAGTGGACGATAATCATCAACTGTTAAAGGAGATTTGTTTGGCATTTTGAAAGTTTGAGTGTCCGAGTCATCATCTAATTTACCAGGGATTTGCATATGTATGTTTGGTATGGCAAATTGGGGTTCAGTTTGAGATGGGATACTGAGAGGTTTTGAATTTTTAAGGTTGTTGGCGTGTCTGGCTTGGGATTGTTGATTGATGATCATTTGGGTTACTGTGTTTGATGGGTCTACTTCCGGATCTGGAGTAAACCGGTTGTTGTGAGCTCAGATCTGCTTGAACCACTTCCCAATCGTTACTAGACCGCGAGATTCCTGCAAAAACTCAACGCCGGAGGTGTTTCCGGCGTAGAGCCTCCGACGCTCAAGTCAGTATGAGAGTGATGAAGAGATGCTGCGCAACAGCTAT